ATGAAGTCCCCAGTGGCACCGGGACGGCCTGAAGAGCTGAGACCAGCCAGCCTCGACCATCCGCGATGTCTAGACGGCTGGACCATGCAGACCTGGACAACCACTTGGACCACCAGATCTAAACCAATAGGAGCATTTCCACTGCTAGCTCACAGGCCTCACCATCTGGCTTCTCTTCCTTATTCCACCAACAACATCCATCAACAACAATAAAATTTCGAACGGTGCATGACGGCCCTGTTTTGGCGACCTCACACAACGGGCCCTGTCCTGCTGTCCACAGACTTACACGGGAGAAAACCTCGTCCTACTAGAATGGCTGGTCAATGTCTCGACTTGGCATCTGCCGACAACCCAACGGCCCGTTGTCGAACCCAGCCTGCCCAGCTACAACTTCATATAATGCGGCACAACAACAACACACTGACCAGTTGCTCAGAAAACCCTGCGTTTGTTGTGGTTCTGGTTCGGCGGCCTTCTGCCACACCTCTCACCACTCCGTCGGTGTAGGCCGCCCTTGCTTGAGGTGAGCCCGCCGTTGACCAATGCGACCAGTGCAACCCGAGAACAGGACCAACCTCACGAACACAAACACATGGTCCCCCAATTCTAACAGTACTCTCCAAAAGCTTCACCTTGCATCACAGGCAGAAACGCAGAACAACACAGTGCCCAAACACTCAAATACATTCACTCCCACGTCCCTCTAACAAATCACTAGCAACATGATAGCGTCCCCAGTGGATCACAGCGCTCACCTTGAGTCCCCATATCCAATACCACCTCCTATTTCATCCCAGGCCGTCCCCTGTCTCCTTCCAGAACTCCACTCGGCCGGGTGGCTTTTTCACCTTCCCCTGGTCACCGCGGCACACAACCCGTCCTCCGTTTGATTGCTTCTTTTCGCGGCGTTCGCTCACCGTGAAAATTTTCTCTGGGCCCTTTCATTTCGTTCTGTCTCTGTCCCTCGGAGCCGAAGTCAAACAGTCAACACTCAACAGAACAACAGAAGGGCAGAAGGGCAGAGTGACTCATACCTACTGCAGTCGAAGGGAATGTATGCTCTGCTGCCCTACACTTCCTCTTTTCCTCACCTTCATATGCGTTGCTGTCCAACACTCGCAGTGCGAAATGGTCAATGGTCAATGGGACAGCTGGGTATGCATGTACCCCCTCTCGATTGGTTGGGCTCACCAGACCGTCGGTACGGAACGCCAATAGCTGCGTCGGCCGGCCTGCTAGCGCGTTGTGCGCTGCGACGGTGGAATGCACAAGCGTGCATGATGCTTCTGTTGCTTCCCTTACCCACATCTACAAGAGTCTACACCTCACCTCATCCAACAGCAACAGTCGCATGGCGGGAAAGTGGAAGATCAAAACAGAAATACCCCCCTCTCCACCGGAGCAGAGACACCTTGTTGGACAGATTAAGGGACCGACTTCGCTCAGCGGGCGTCTCACCGACATTTCCGCCGGCGACGCATGCATGATGATGCCCCGCGCGTTGACGCTCGTCCGGCGGCATGCTCATACGTGGCAGGTGCCGCATATGAGCCGTGACGTAGCGGTCTACCCACAAAACATGTCGTTGGGCTCGAAATTGCTGAGGCAACCGACTTCACCTGGGTCCGTTTCGGTGTGTCGAGTGGAATGGCGCAGAACGAGAGGGAAGGATTCCGGCGGTCGTGGTTGGGCACAGCAACCAAAGTTATCGCGGCTCGCAGCCGGGCGGAGTTCGTCTTCGGCTTTGTCGAGTGACAGGTCGCTGTCTAGGAGGGCTGAAGATAGACTGTGGTGTATTCCGAGCGTCGTGGTGTCTACACTACACACTGTGGTGTAGCTGGAGCAGATTGACGTCTTGCTAGGGCTCCATGAGGCGATGCTGACGTTGCGGGATCAATGTCCGCAGGGGAAGGATGGCAAGGGCCGGCCAGATACCTCGCGGCTAGTCGCATGTTGTTTTGCCGCCAACATATGTCGTCGGCAGGCGGCCTGCTGCCATTGCCAGCGCGATAGGCAGGTTCACGCTGTCATGTAGGAGATGTCCACCGCGGTGTCAGAGGCGTGTACCCAACAGGCAGGAAGGTGCAGGCAGTCGAGTCATCCGTTTGCCCCCTCCCGAGATAGTCCTGGACAGTGATGGGCTCGCGACCGCTCGGTGGCGTGGACTCGAGAGGCAGCTGAGGAACTGCGCTGGCGTGGGTAAAATCACACCGCTAACCCCTGAGCCTTCGAGTCCAATGGGAACACGGACACACCTGCTGGGTATTTCATTTGCCGAGCCAAAACAAGACGTGGTTTGTGCGTTCTCTGTGCGAATGTCGAGGCGGGACAGTGGTTTGCATGGCAGAAATGGTTGAAAAGCTGCCTCCAGAAGGACGCTGTCGCATAGTCGTCAGTATCCTCTCCGCCGGTCTGTAGCGCGCGACATCTGTCTCGGTTCGTGCAACATCATCACGCCGTGTGCTGAGGAGTCATCTCGTTAGTACCAGATACTCACTTCTGTCCTCCCTGCGATGATGCCAGCAGACTGGAGCGCCACGATTAGTGGGATGCAACGGCCGGCAATGCAGAACTTGAGCAGGCTGGCAGACCTTCTGCCAGCCCAGCTTGGAAGTCCCAGAGATCTGGACCGCGAATCCGACGCAACAAGACACAAGCCACGATCACGCTAACCCCGATCTGAGTGGCGGTACGTACCCTAGCTGCCGCTGTGCTCAGGCCAATGACTACTCTCTCCCAACTTTAAGGTGGGCCTGGGGTTAAGCGGACCTCTTGCCGCCCGACATCCGATCTTCACATTGGGCAGGTACAGTAGAGGCCTCACTTTCGCCATCTTCGGTCACTCCAGAATCATGACAAATAAATGGTTGGCTTGTGACAGGTTATCTGATGTCGTTTAAATTCGCCCTTTTGGACGGGGTACGTCATAGGGGGTTTGCAGGCATTTCCCTCTGAACATGGAAATGGTGGAACAATAGTCCCACCCCTCGGAATCGGGTCTTTGCCACTTCCGGCACAACCTTAACCACCCCGTCGGCGCCTTACTGTGGTATGTGGCTGAGTCCTCGACCTCTTCCTGCCCATCCGAGGACTTGTAATTTCAAGGCTGCGACCTGGTCGTCGATATCACATCGATATACTTGCCATGACTGGATATACCAGTCAACCATCGTCGGCTGGCACAGCCTGTTGACGCTATGACTCATCCGTCTGTTTCAGCCTATGGCAAGCGCCATGGCATCGACATCCTGTTCTCCCGTGCCATCCGCAGTTGACGTACGGAATATCGTTCACATCGCCACCATGTCGCTTCGAAGACCGCGCCGGTCATCCTGACAGGCAGTACTGGGTGACGAATGGGGATCCGTCGCGACACTTTGGATTTGGCAAACCTTGTTGCGGACTGATGATACTGCCCACAGCCCCGAGAAATCTGGTCAAGGCAGCAAAGAGTTCACGCGTTGGAGATTTGGAGGAGGGAGAGTTTCCAGTTGAACGACGACGAGTCTGTTCTGTCCTGGTTGCTCCATCGGGGCTGAACCTACACTACTTGCCTTCCCACAGACTACGAGACATCACCGAATGCTCCAGTCCACTCCGGCATCTCGGCGCCCGTCACATGTCGAACGAACTTGTGACTCTTCACATCTCGGAGCACCCAGTCTCTTGTCCAGCCGTACTGGTACCGTTCTCTGGCTATCTCTCTAGTTGAAACGATTGGCTAGCAAGTGTCGACAAAATCGCCTCGCTTGACGATAGTCTTTCGAATCCCCTCAAGTTTGAGAGCGGTCATCCAATAGGGGTATAGGGTAGCCTCGCCGCACACCACACGTCAGCCCTCGGAGCCTTGTTGTGTCCCAGGATCTGAGCCTATGGCCAGCCGCAAGCGTTGGGGGATGGCCGGGCGACGACGACGACGACTTTCCAAGGGGAGATCGACCAAACATAGATGTCCGTTCTCTCGCACTGTGTCTACACCACTGAGGAAGACGGGGCGTAAATTCATCAAGGAGGGAAGGTCATGTGTCGTCGCGTCCCGGTTCAACGGCTGGCCACCTCCACCTGGAGAAGAAGCACAACACGGTGCACGTGAACCGGCTTATGAAACGCGGTTGCGTGAGGTATGACTGTTCGTGGCCTGGGGCAGTATGATTTGCTGGAGGCCTCAATCACGGAAATCAAGGCAGGCATGTGCGCAACTCTCCTCTAGAGTCACAGCTCGAGCGGCCAGCTAGAGCGCCGCCGAGCGCAGGCAGTTCGACGTGCTTCCAATATTTGTTCGCTGGAGAGCAACTCACCGGCAGGCCCTTTGCGCCTTTAGACACTGGGACACATCTCAATTCACTAACCTGGTCCTCCGTTGCGTCGTTCGACGACCCAAAGGCCCCTCAACACCAAGACCAGCGAATATCCACATCCTCCACATTCAAGCGTGCGGGAGCGAGTCATGATCCCGCACCAACGCAAAATAATCTTTTCGCCCCAGCTCTCCCAGTCTGAGATTCCTGATGATGAAGGATAACGTCGCCGACATCCATCAAGCGGGTTTAGCTCAGTTGGGAGAGCGTCAGACTGAAGTCAAACTTCACCAGTTCCATCTGAAGGTCGTGTGTTCGATCCACACAAACCACACTTGATAGCCAGCCATATATCTTCAAGATGTGGTTCATTTTTGTCGTTCTTCTCCAGCGGTGATCGATGATGCTGCAGACTGCGAGGGTGTGTGGCGTCGGCTGATGCTTTTTGCGGCTGGACGGCACACTTCCGTCGTTTTCGAACGGTGTTCGTTCTCTTTTTTGTTTTGTTTTGCATAGCGTTTTTCCTGGAGATTTCCGGTCCCGCCGTCATCGTCAGCCCAAGCAGGGCGACATCGGATTGTCGGTTGTCCGCTCTGCGTCTGTGGAGATGCCGGTCTTCACCGCTTCGACCCGCAGAGATGAAATCTCTGCAACAACACTAAATAAGTCTGCATACAGGCCAGCAGCTTCAACAATAACGGGGGTGTAGCTCATCTGGTAGAGCGCGTGCTTAGCATTCCATCTGTGTGACGAGTCAATCGTCATCAGGATACATGTTACCTGCACGAGGTACTGGGTTCGACTCCCAGCTCCTCCACACGTTTCTTTTTGTGCTTTCGTGTCTAATTGTCCTTTTGCTCTTCTTGATTGCTTGGACGATTTGCACCTCAGTCGCACCTGTCTGTTGCTCAGCTTTGGTGTTGGCATGGGGCGGGAACTGGATACTTTTTGTGCGGAGATCAAAGCCGGGGGCCATATCCCGTGTAAGTCTGTCGGGACAAGTGCTTCGCTTGCGACTCCGTTGGTACTCGATGGGGTGGTATCTTGCTGCAAATGGCCCCCAACCCTGAAATACGTTTACAAAGCTTCATTTAACTTCGACCAAGCGCAAGCGTTCCTCTAATCGGCGTTCTATCGAGAGAGTCTTTAGCCGGAGCGCAACACCATACTGGTACGGTCTTGGCATCTGCACAGTACCTGGGGAAGCTGGCGTAGAATATCTGCAAGGACCGGGATTTTCAGGTGTAGTACGACCTAAATTATATTATCTAGTCTGGCAGATATGGTATGTGCGACCTCGGGCGCCGTTACTGCCTCAAATCCGTCCGCAGATGTCACCACATGCCATGACATAAAGTGTCCAGGACTGCCCATCGAACGAACAAGTGTTGACGATAATGACCTATCGATCTACCGTCTGGCGAAGTCGAACCTGGCGCAGCTATCCTGCCCGTCATGTTGGTCACCCGGTCTCTCGTCGGCTTCATTCTAGCCGTCTTCCTCCCGCAAGCTAACAGCGCCAAACACCACCTCTTCGTCAGCAACCTCACGCCTCCATCCTCACTCTACGCCCTCGAATTCGACGATGAGTCCCTCTCCCTCAAAGTCACAGCCAACATCACAGCCGACGCTCCGCACTCCTGGATAACCTTCAACGTCCGTCTCTTTCCCCATTTCTGTCCTCCCCTCCCTTCTCCTCCTCCAGCTAACTCACCGATGACCAGCACGATAAAACAACCATCTACGGCACCTCCAACAACCTGCCCAAGATCTCGAGCTACTCCGTCACGAGCAACCACGCCCTCACCCTCTCCAAATCCATCCCCGCCTCGGGAAAGTGCTTCAACCGCACCTCCGCCTTCGCCGCAGCCAGCGACGCGGAGCCGTACCGCGTCGTCACCGGGCAGTGGCCGGGTCCGGATGCGTGCGGGATGTCCTTCGACGTCTTTCCTAACGGCACGTTGGATCGGGTTGCGGATAGCTGGGGGTATGCGAATAAATCCGGCGTTCACGGGTTGGCGTTGGGTAAGGTGAAGAGGAAAGGACAGCTGTTGTACTCCGCTGATCTAAACGGCGATGCGATCTGGACGCATAGGATTGCGGAAGATGGACGGGCGGAGGTGGTGGGTAGGTTTGCGGTTAAGAATGGCAGTCACCCGAGGCATTTGGCTGCGCATCCCGGGGGTGAGAGGTTGTACGCTGTCATGGAGGCTGGGAATCGGGTTGCTTCGTTCACGCTGCGGGAGAGTGGGGCTGTGGAGGAGGAGGAGGACAGTTACTCCTTGATTCCTAACGGTAAGTCTTTCTTGCCTTCCAACTCGCAACTGCGTTTATCTTAACGAACCGGTGTCGCAGGCAAGAACACCTCCAACTACTGGTCAGCAGAAGTCATGCTCTCTCCCGACGCGCGGTTCCTCTGGGCCACGGCGCGGGCGCAGATCAACACCACGATTCCGGGGTACATCTCCGCCTTCCTGGTCGACGAAGAGGGCGTGATAGTCAAGCGCATGTTCAGGAAGGAGACTACCACGGTGGGCGGGATCGCGAATATGGTCTCGCCGGCTCCCTGGAGCAACGAGTGGGTTGCCCTGACGGACATTGGGACGGGGTATGTGCAGGTGTGGAAGATGGGACAGAAGAAGGAGGGACGTCACGGGACGGAGTACGGCAATGCTGAGGCGCTGGCGAGGGTTGATATTAAGGATGGGGGGTGTTGTGCTGTTGCTATTTGGTTTGATTAGCCTGCTGGAACCTACCCTATAGCAATGTTCGAAGGATGTGGAAGTGAGAGCCTTGAAGAACCAACACGTCTGTCTCCATGTGACCGGATGACTAGAAAAGATCCCGGACCCCATGGGTATAGCAATGCTTCGATATTTCGCTAAGAACAATACACCATCACCAATTCTCCAAGCAACGACTTTTCCATCCTCCCACCTCCTACTTCCACACACTACTACTCTCCGCCCCAGCCTTCTTCCCCTCCTGGTACGTCTCGCTAAGCTCATTATACAGCCCCTTCACCCGTTCAATCTCCTTCTCCCACTTCTTGCTCTCCGCCTCATCCTCCACCTCGTCCAGCAAATCCTTCAAACTCTTGGCCGTAAAGAACTTATTCTTCCGATTATACAACGGCCTCTCCCTCAGACTGTCCGGCGTAACCCCCTTCCCGGGGACCCGGAACACCTCCTCGAGGATATCGATATCATACGGAATGGCAAACAGATCCCTGCTATCCTCGTACGTAAACAAGTAATAGAACTCGTTGAACCCGGCCCAGGTGATGCCGCTCAGGCACAGCGAGCACGGCTCGTGGGTGGCGAAGAAGATGCAGTCCTTTGTTGCTGGACGGTCTGACGGGGAAGTGGAGGTGGAGGTGAAGAACTGCTGGATGCAGTTGATCTCCCCGTGCAGGAGGGGGGAGACGCGCTCGTCGTTGGTGGCTACTGTGATGGGAGCTAGGGATTGGCGGGAGAGGATGGCGGCGCCGAAGAGCTTGGAGCCGGAGGAGACGCCGCGGCGGGTGAGGGGGATGATGGATTTTTCTGTGACGCGGAGGATGGTGGAGATGAGGGTTGTTGGGGAGTTGGAGTTGGGGTGTGTCATTGTGGCGGCTGTGAATGTGTTCCTTATGGATGGGGTATGAGGGTTGAAGAAGGTTCAAGAGTGAGATGAGGGATGGAAGGGAAGCAAGTGTTATAGGTCTAGATGTCTATGAGATAAGGGAGTCACTTATATGTCTCATCGCCTGGGAGCTCAGACGTCTAGTGTGGATAGGAGGTTGCCAAGGCCCGGCGCCAGCCGATCTCCCACCGGCCAGGCCCGGAGCCGAATGTGGGGCCGGTTATCGGAGACAAGTTGACCTCGCACGCCCGGGGTGAGGCAACTGCATACCTTAGACATGGGAGGTGTGGACGAGATAGCAGTTCTTGAGAGCATTTGGATTCGTCGATTTAGAAGGAAGACGGGGACAGAAGTGGAAATAGCAACGACAGTGACCGTCCCGAGTATCTGGATGCAATCGCCGGGCTCCACCCTAAATCTGCAATTGCTAAATGCCAAGAGATATTCTTTTCTTCTTCAACCACCACAACCAAAAGCACCAATCACCCCGGGCTTCCTCCCCTGTCTCCCACGCCTCTTGCAAGATACTCATCACGTCTCCAAGATGCACTACATCCGCCTCCTCCGCCCTCCCAGCCTGGACGTGTTCAAATCCGGCCACTCTCTCAAGCTCATAATCAGCATAACCACCGACCTAGGCGACTCATTCCTCTCGCCCACCACCGCCATCCCAATCCGCGTCCTCATCCGGAGTCACGGTCCAGATGGGTCAGAAATCTGGACGGAGATTACGCCCGTGCGCAGTAGACCATCATGGCGGTCCCGTTTGCGAGTGCTGAAGCTCGATTTGCCTGTGCCCGCGGCTCTGTCTGGACTCGACAAGCTGCACATCCGGCCTGCTGACGCGCGGATTGTGGCCGGGAGCGCTGCTGATCTTGCAGGGAGGGAGCAGGGACTTATAGTGCCGGTGTCCGTGGATTTGGGCGCGGGATCTGATGATGCGGCGCATGTCTGTTACCGCATGCTGAAGTTGTCTAGCCACCCCGGAGCGGGGCTGGAATCCGCTCTACAGGTGGAGGAGGAGATTGGCGATACCAGTCTGGCGAGACATGTCTGGGATGGAGGGCTGATGACGCTTGCCCGTATTGCGAATGTGTGCTCGCCCGTGCAGCCGGCTGGGTTAACATCGGGAATGGTGCGGTTGAAGGAGATACTCTCCCAAGACAGGGAGCTGAACATCCTTGAGATTGGATGCGGGATTGGGACCCTGGGGATAGGGCTTGCGCAGATATTCCGCTCGATCGTGGGGGAGAGGGCTGAGGGCGTCAATATCCTCATGACGGATCTCCCTGAAGCAGGAGGAGCGGGCTAGGGCGAACATTGCGCGGTACGAGGCCTCGGCTACCGACGATACGGACGGGAGCAAAGTCAGCATCGACTACGAGGACCTGGACTGGGAAGACGGCAGGCTCGGCAAGTTCGGCACAAAGGTGCGGTCCAGGCTCTGGGACTTGGTCGTCCTCAGCGACTGCACCTACAACGTCGACACCATCCCGGCATTGGTGCAGACGCTGTCACAGGTCCACGCCGCTGCCAGCAGGCACCCAGATTGGCCGTCGCCAGGCTGGCGCAGCAAAGTCATGATCGGCACCAAGCCGCGGCATTGGTCCGAGGAGGTCTTCGTCGCGCAGATGGAGGGCGACGGTTGGGCCGTGGACGAGAAGGAACGTCTTCCGCTGCCGATGCTGGATGGCGAGCCGCAGGCTGTCGAGATTTATCTTTTCGGCAAGGATGGGCGGTGATGATGCCAGGCGTCGTTTTTCGGTGGACTTTGTGGCTACGGATTACTGGACAATGGATGTTGCGACATCTTGTTATCAAGCATTGGCAAGGCTTCACAGTCATGGTGTCGTGTCTGCCTGTTGCCTTTTTGCTGGTCGAGATTTTGTGGCGGCGCGCCATTGGAGAATCATCATCGCAACCATCTCGATATGCGGCAAGCGGCATTGGTCGGGATGCATGCAAGTAGGGGCCTCCCGCATGTGAGGCCAATTGTTTGTTCAATCGGAGCGTTGTCGACACAACCATCGCCAGAAATGAGGCCATTGATCTTCTTTCCACCGGTGTCTCTGATATCTCGATTGATCAAGACTGGGGGATTGGATAGCTGTACAATGAGCCATCAGCGGACGAGAAACGAGGGCACCCGGGGGGGGGGGGGGGGGGGGGGGGGGGGGGGCGAGTCTTCAAGAC